CTGTGCCTGCCTCACAATCCTTGCTATACTTAATGTAAGCCCATTGTTGCAGCCACTGTATCAATCCATCTTGTCAAGGGCATCCCCCCTTTTAGCTGACCCTCTACTTTACTAAGCATGATATCCTTCTCCAGGGAATGGTCCTTTCTGACATGATCAAAGTAGGTGAGATGAAGTCTGGCCATTCTCGCTTCCAAGGAGCAGTCCAACTGCACTTCTTCCAGGTCAGATATGTTTGTTCTTTTGGTAGTCCTTGGCACTTTCAGTATTCTTTGCCAACACCACAACTGAAAAGCATCAACTATTCTTCAATCTTCCTTACTTAATGTCCAGCTTTCACACGCATATGAGGCTACTGAAAATACCATGGCTTGGGTTAGGCGCACCTTAGTCTTCAAAGAAACATCTTTGCTCTTCAGCACTTCAAAGAGGTCTTTTGCAGCACATTTACCCAGTTCAATATATCGTCTGATGTCTCAACTGCTGCTTCCACGGATGCTGACTGTGGAACCAAGTAATACGAAATCGCTGACAACTTCAATCTTTTCTCCATTTTATTATGATGCTGCTTATTGGTCCAGTTGTGAGGATTTTCATTTTCTTTATGTTGAGGTGTAACCCATACGGCAGACTGTAGTGTTAATCTTCATCAGTAAGTGCTTTAAGTTATCTTTACTTTCATCAAACAAAGCTGTGTTGTCTACATAGGGTAGGCTGTTAATGAGTTTTCCTCCAATCCTGATGCCACATTCTTCTTCATACAGTCCAGCTTCTCAGATTATTTGCTCAGTATACATATTGAATAAGTATGGTGAAAGGATACAACCATGACATACTCTCTTCTTGATTTTAAACCATGTAGTATCCCCTTGTTCTATTCAAACAACAGCCTCCTGGTTTATTTACATGAGCCCAATTAAATGTTCTGGAATTCCCATTCTTCTCAAGGTTACCCATAATTTGTTATGATCCACACAGTCAAATGCTTTTGCATAGTCAATACAACAAGTAAACATCTTTCTGGTATTCTTTGCTTACAGCCAAGATCCATCTGACATCAGCAATGATATCTCTCATTCCATGTCCTCTTTTGAATCCAGCTTCCATTTCTGGAAGTTCCCTGTCAATGTACTGCTTTAACAGTTTTTGAATTGTCTTCAGCAAAATTTTACTTGCATGTGATAATAATGATATTGTTTGATAATTTCCTTATTCTGTTCAATCACCTTACTTGGAATGGGTACAAAGAGAGATCTCTTCCAGTCAGTGGGCCAGGTAGCTGTCTTCCAATTTCTTGGCACAGATGAGTAAGTGCCTTCAGTGAGGCACCTTTTTTGCGGACACATCTCAATGGGTATCCTGTCAATTACTGGAGCTTTGTTTTTCACCAATTCCCCCAGTGCAGCTTCAATTTCTTCCTTCAGTAGCATTGGTTCTTGATCATATGCCACCTCCTGAAATAGATGTGCATCAACCAATTCTTTCCAGGAGAGTGACTCTCCATACTCTTTCCATCTTCTTTTGATGTTTCGTGCATCATTCAATATTTTGCCCATAGACTCTCAATATTGCAACTCGATGCTTGAATTCTTCTTCAGTTTTTTAACTTGAGAAATGGTGAGCATGTTCTTCCCTTTTGGTTTTCTAACTCCAGCTCTTTGCACATTTCATTATAACTGACTCTGTCTTCTTGAGTTGCTCTTTGAAATCTTCTGTTCAACTATTTTATCTTGTCATTTCTTTCATTTGCTTTAGCTATTCTCCATTCAAGAGCAAATTTCAGAGTCTCTTCTGACATCCATTTTGGTCTTTTCTTCCTTTCCTGTCTTTTTAATGACCCTTTGCTTTCTTCATGGATGATGTTCTTGATGTGATCCCATAATTCCTCTGGTTTTTGGTCATTGGTGTTTGATGGATCAAACTCTATTCTTCAGATAGCCTCTAAATTCATGTAGGATATAGTCAAGGTCATATTTTGGCTCTCATGGACTTGTTTTAATTGTCTTCAAGTTCAACTTGAACGTCTATATGACTAGTTGATGGTCTGTTTCACAGTCAACTCCTGGCCTTGTTTTGGCTGAAGATATTGAGCTTCTCCATCGCTTCTTTATACAAATGTAGTCAATCTGATTACTGTGTATTCTATTTGGTGAGGTCCACATGTACAGCTGCCATTTATGTTGTTGAAAAAGGTATTTGCAATGAGTAAGTCGTTGGTCTTACAAAACTCTATCATGCTATCTCTAGTGTCATTTCTATCGCCAAGGCCATATTTTCCAACTACCAGTGATTCTTCGCTTCCAACTTTTGCATTCCAATCACCAGTGATAAGCAATACATCTTGATTGCACGTTTGGTCAATTTCAGACTGCAGAATTTGGTAAAAATCTTCAATTTCCTTATCTTTGTCTTTGGTGGTTGATTAACTTAATTTAACTAACTGCAGTATTAACTGGTCTTCCTTGTAGGCATGCGGATGTTATCCTATCACTGACAGGATACATCTTAAAACATTTTTTGTGACGATGAATCCCATGCCATTCCTCTTTGTCATTCCCAGCATAGTAGATCATATGGTTATCTGACTCAAAAAGGCCAAAACCAGTCTGTTTCAGCTCAATAATACTGAGCTGATATTGATCTCTATGCATTCCATTTCATTTTAGATAACTTCCAAATTTCCAAGGTTCATACTTTGTACATTCCATGTTCTGATTATTAGTGGATGTCTGCAGCCGTTTCTTCCCATTTTGAATCGTGCCACATCAGCAAATGGAAGTCCCGAAAGCTTTACTCCATCCACGTCATCAAGGTTGACTCCACTTTGAGGAGGCAGTTCTTCCTCAGCAGTCTTTTGAGTACCATCTGCCCTGAGGGGCTCATCTTCCAGCATTATATCAGATTATGTTTCAGGGCTATTCATCAAGTTTTCCTGTAATATATCAGACAATGTTTCACTGCTATTCATAATGTTTTCACTGCCAATTCTTTGCGAAGTGGATGGCCCCTTCCTTCTTCCGAGTCTGTCTTAGTCTGGAAGCTTCACTGAAACCTGTCCACCATGGGTGAAACTGCTGGTATATGAAATACTGGTGGCACAGCCTCCAGCCTCACAGCAACATGCAAGCCACCACAATATGAGAAACTGACAGATGAGTGATAGAGAAACTAATGTATAGTTCAATTATTTCTGATCTCTTTCCCTTTCTAGTATATCTTTTCCCAAATCCTGATATTTTATTTTTGTCTGTATGTTATACAGTTCTAATGAATCCCCAAAACCCAATGCTGTTGTGTTGATTATGACTTATAGTGACCCTACAGGACAGAGTAGAAACTGCCCCATGGGGTTTCTAAGGCTATAAATCTTTATAGAAGTAGACTGTCACATCTTTCTCCTGAATAGTGGGTGGTGGGTTTGAACTGCGGATCTTCCTGTTAGCATCCAAGCACTTTAACCACTGCACCACCAGGCTTCCTTTTGAAGCCCTATTAGAAAAAAAAAAACCAACAAACTCACTGCCGTCAAGTCGATTCAACTCATAGCGACCCCTCTTTGGGTTTCCAAGGTGGTACCTCTATAGAAGTAGATTGCCCAACCTTCCTTCTAAGGAGTGGCTGGTGGGTTTGAACTGCCAGTTTTCTGGTTAGCAGTCAAATGCCTTAGGCACTACGCCATCAGAGCTCCCATGAATCCCTATAAGGGACTTTAAATCCTTCATGGAAGAGGTAAAACACACAATAGGCTGAAATTTGGACTTAACCGCATTTTCTGAGCACAATACTAAAAAGATAAGAATGGATTTCAATTTGGCCCAATGTATATTACACAGAGAAAAATGTTCCCCATATATTAGACAAGGAGCTCTGGTGGCACAATGGTTAAGTGGTCAGTTGCTAACTGCTAAAAGTCAGCAGTTTGAACTCACCAGCCATTCTCCAGGAGAAAAGACTTGGTGATTTGTTCTCATAAAGACTATAGTCTAGAAATCTTAGGGGGCAGTTCTATTCTATTCTATAGGATTACTATGAGTTAGAATTGACTCAACAGCTCACAACATGCATTCTAACAGCCTCATAAATGAATCCACCAGTCAGTCACAGGAGAAATTGGACAAAGAAGGTAGAAACACCCATAGCTGCTACCACAAAAGAAATGATTTAACCTTATACTATGAGTTAGCTTTCATGCAGAAAGGCTAGCATTGTATATACTAAAAACAAACTCACTGCTGTTGAGTCGGATCTGACTCATAGCAACCCCTCCTTGGGTTTCTCAGGCGGTATCACTACAGAAGTAGACTGCCCAATCTTTCTTCCAAGGAGTGGCTGGTGGGTTTTGAACCACCAACCTTCTGGTTAGCAGTAAAATGCTTTAGGCACTATACCACCAGAGCTCCCATTGTATATATTGAGCCAGTGGATTTCAAATATGGGCTTTCTTTCTTTTTCTCAAGTCAGGAAACCTCTACTTTAAAGAAAAAAATTAAGCAGAAGCTAGACTTACAACACTGAATGTGAAGCTACTCTGGGTGAGGAATCCCTGGGTGGTACAAGTGGTTAATGTGCTTGGCTGCTAACTAAAAGTTTGTGGTTTGAGTTCATCCAAAGATACCTCGGAAGAAAAGGCTAGCAATCTACTTCTGAAAAATCAGCCACTGAAAACCCAATGAAGCACAGTTCTCTGACACATGTGGGGTCACCATGAGTTGAAACTGACTGGACAACAACTGGTTTTCTCCTATTAAAGTGCTTCTTACTTCACACTCAGCCTAGATGGTCCTTTGCCCTTACACCCATTCCCATGTCCTCCATGTCTGAAGAACTCTTAGTGCTTTGTGGAATATAATTTGAAAACTATTATTTTAGAATAAAGAAAAAGCAACTATAACAAAAGGATAGATTATATGAAAATGTCTTGAAAACTAAACTTAAAATGATTAAAAGAGATAATATGGTAGAATTATTTTTAGAAAAAGAAATTGTTTACTCAAAATTACCTTGATCCTTATTTCTTTCTCAACAATTTTCTTTTGTTTGTCTGCCTCTTTTCTCTTACATCTTTCTTCTTCTCTTCTTTTTCTTTTCTCTTCTTCCCGCAAGCGTTTCTTTTCTAACTCCCTTCTCCTTCGTTCTTCTCGCCTCTCTTCTCGAATTCTCTAAAGTTATGGAAAAGTATATGTATAAATTGTCTGAAGAAAATGGCAAAAACAGGAAGGATATTCATCAGACAAAAGGCCAGACCTACCTGCTTTTCTAATTTTCTGTTTTTAATATATTCCAAAAGAGGTGTGGTTCTTCTAGCTAAAACAAAAAATTATAATATATTATTTAACTATGGAAATAAAATTTCTCTTCTTTATTTTAAATGTATGTTTTCAATTTAATCTTTAAAATTATTAGAGGAAGAATACTATTTTTCAAATCTATATAAGCATGTACAATCTATATTGTATCCTGGGGAGTTCTTATTATATCATCATATAGTTAAGAAGTATGGGGATACTGAAGTTCTGGCAAGATGGCAGACTAGACAGAAGGACTGCACAGACACTCTTCAACAAAGAAAAGGGAAACCAATGAACACAGACACAGAAGATAATCTTGGACCCCTGAGCCTTGATGGGAAGGATACAAAAGTGGACTAAACCCCAACTAGCAGAATTTGCGTGAAAATACCAAAAAAGGAGACACACGGAGCTGCGGTCTGGCAGCGGACTGAGCGACCCTGATGGCACAGACGACACGGCTTGGAGATTCC